AGTAGAGGAAGCACATAGAACTCCTAACAGCCATAACCAGAAAAGATCTTTACCACAACACATTGTAATCAAACTTCCCATAGTAAAATATAAAGAAAAGATTCTAAAATGTGAATGAGAGAAATGCCAGTTGCTTTCAGATGATTTCTAATTAGACTCACAGCTGGTTTCTTATCAGAAGCCCTGCAGGCTAGAAGAGAATGGTGTGATATAGTCCAAGTATTAAAAGAAAAAAAAAACTGTCAACTCAGAATACTGTACTCCACAAAGCTCTCATTCATGAATAAAGGTGAAATAAAGAATTTTCTAACAAACATAAATTGAAAGAATCTGTCGCCACTCATCCAGCCTAGCAAAACATGCTTTAGGATGTGCTACACAGAGAAATGAAGGAAGAAAGGCATCATTATGGCAAAATGTGAAGGCAGAAAAACCTCTTGTAGAATTAAAAAGAAATACAAAGTAAACAAGATGAATATTTTTGGAAAGATTGCAGAGACAAGATGTTATTTATCAATAATCACCTTTAATGTAAATGGCCTCAACTCTACAGTTAAAAAAATACAGTCTGGCTGAATTGATTTAAAAACAAAACACATCTATTTGCTGCCTACGAGAAACACATCTAACCAACAAAGAGGCATGCAGACTGAAAGTGAAAGGATGAAAAAGATATTCCATGCTAATGGAAAGCAAAAAAGGTGTTGCCATCCTAATATCAGACAAGATAAACTTTAACATAAAAACTGTTAAAAGAGATGAAGAAGGTCATAATGATTAAGGGATCAATTCAACAGGAAGATGTGACTATAATAAATGTATATGCATGCAATTACAGGACACCTGGCTATTTAAAAGAAATGTTAACAGATCTAAAAGGAGACATATTCTCCAATACAATAGTAACGGGGACTTAAACAACTCATTTTCATCAATGGACAGATCATCTAGACAGAAAATCAACCAAAAAACAACAGAGCTACTCAACACTATGACCCAATGAATATCCACAGAACTTTTCACCCCATAGTTGCAGAATATACATTCTTCTCATAGGTGTCTGGAACTTTCTCCAGGATAGACCATATGCAAGGTCATTAAGCAAGTCTCAACAAATTAAAATAAATGGAAATTGTACCATGCATCTTTTATGAGCACAATGGAATGAAGCTGGGAATCTCAAGGATTTCTAGTTCATATGCAAACTCATGGAGACTGAACAACATGTTTCTGATAAATAGCGGGTCACAGAAGAAATCAAAAGAAAAATAAAAAAATTCTGGAAATAAGACAATACATCATATTAAAACATGTGGGATACAGCAGAAGCAGTGTTAATAGTGAAGTTTATAGATGAAGAAATTTGAAAGCTACCAAATAAATAAACTATCAATGCATCTCAAGGACCTAGAACAACAACAAAAAACCAAACACAAAATTAGTAGGAGGAAAAATAATTAAAATTAGAGAAGAAATAAATAAAACTGAAACAAAAAACACAAAAGATCAGTGAAATGAAGAGCTGTTTTTTTGAAGAAAGTAAACAAAATTGATACACCACTGACCCAACTTAAAAAAGAGAGAAGACCAAAATCAATAAAATCAGAGATGAAAAATGAAACGTAATAACAGATACCAGTGAAATAAAAAGAATTGTCAGGAATTACTACAAAGAGCTGATTGTCAATAAATTCAGAAACCTAGAAGAAATGGATAGATTCCTGACACATACATTCTACCAAAAATTGAGTCATGAAGACATAAAAAACCTAAACAGACCAATAAGCAAGACAGAAACTGAATCAGTAATAATGACACTCCCAAAAAAGAAAATCCCAGGAGCAGATGTCTGATGCTGAATTCTACCACTTAAAAAAGAAATAATTCCAATTCTTCTCAAGCTATTCTAAACAATTGAAAGGAGAGAATCTTCCCAGACTCCTTCTGTGAAGTCTGTATCATGTTAATTCCTAAGTAAGAAAAAGACACAACAGAGAAAGAGAACTACAGATTAGTATCTCTGAGGAACATAGATGCAAAGATCCTCAATGAAATACTAGCCAACCGAATCCAACAACACATCAGAAAGATCATTTACCTGGACCAAGTGGGATTTATCCCTGGTATAAAGGGATGGTTCAACATTTGCAAATCAATGAATGTGATGCATCACATTAATAAACTGAAAAACAAAAACCATATGGTTGGGGCTGGTGGCGTGGCCTAGCAGATAAAGTTGTCACCTGCAGTGCCAGAATCCCATATGGGCATGGGCTCAAGTCCCAGTTGTTCCACTTCTGACCCAACTCTCTGTTATGGCCTAGGAAAGCAGTGGAAGATGGCCCAGGTGCTTAGGTTCCTTCATCTGCATGGGAGATCAGGAAGAAGTTCCTGGCTCCTGGCTTCGGTTTGGCCCTGCTCTGGCCACTGTGGCCATTTACGGAGTGAACCAGCACATGGAAGTTCTCTCTTTCTTCCTGTGCCTAGACCTCTTCTCCTGCTTCTCTGTGGATCTGCCTTTCAAATAAATACATAAACCTTAAAAAACACTATATGGTTATTTCAATAGATGGAGAGAAAACATTTGATAAAATACAATATCCTTTCATGATAAAAACTTTAAAATTTGGGTATTGAGGCCGGCGCCGTGGCTCAATAGGCTAATCCTCCACCTAGCGGCGCCGGCACACGGGGTTCTAGTCCCAGTCGGGGCTCCTAATTCTTTCCCGGTTGCCCCTCTTCCAGGCCAGCTCTCTGCTGTGGCCCGGGAAGGCAGTGGAGGATGGCCCAAGTGCTTGGGCCCTGCACCCCATGGGAGACCAGGAGAAGCACCTGGCTCCTGCCATTGGATCAGTGCAGTGCGCCAGCCGCAGCACACCAGCCGTGGCGGCCATTGGAGGGTGAATCAACGGCAAAAGGAGGACCTTTCTCTCTGTCTCTCTCTCTCACTGTCCACTCTGCCTGTCAAAAAAAAAATTGGGGTATTGAAGGAACATTCCTCAACACAATCAAGGCAATTTATGACAAACCCACAGCCAACATCCTACTGAATGGAGAAAAGCTGGAAGCATTCCCCCTAAGATCCGGAACCAGACAAGGATGCAGTCTCTCATCTTCACTATTTAATATAGTCCATAAAGTTTTAGTCAGAGCCATTAGGCAAGAAAAAGAAATCAAAGGAATACAAACTGGAAAGGAGGACATCAAACTATCCCTATTGGCAGGTGACATGATTCTATATATAGGGGATCCAAAAGACTCCACTGAGAGATTATTGTAACTCATAAAATAATTTGGTAAGCTCAAAGAACATAAAATCAACCTGAAAAAATCAGCAGCCTTTGTATACACAGACAATGCCATGGCTGAGAAAGAGCTTTCAAGATCAGTCCCATTCACAATAGCTCCCAAAATAATTAAATATCTTGGAATAAGTTTAACTTAGGATGTCAAAGATCTCTACAATGAAAATTATAAAACACTAAAGATAGAAATAGAAGAAGATACTAAAAAAAGGAAAAACCTTCCATGTTCATGGATTGGAAGAATCAACAGCATCAAAATGCCAATACTACCAAAAGCAATGTATAGATTCAATGTGATCCCAATCAAAATATTAATGACATTCTTTGCAGATCTAGAAAAAATGATGCTAAAATTCATATGGAAAAACAACAGACCCCAAAGAGCTAAAACAATCTTATACAACAAAAACAAAGCTGGAGGCATCAAAATACCTTATTTCAAAACAGATTACAGGGCAGTTATAGTTAAAATAGCCTGATACTGTGACAAAAACAGTCTTGTAGACAAATGGGAGAGAATAGAAACTCCAGAAATCATCCCATGCACCTAAACCATTTACTTTTGAAAAAGGAGCTAATATCAAAACAGCTTTTTTTAAATTATAATTTTTACCCATTTTTCCATAGTAAATTCATAAATTTCTGTGTGCATGTAGCTGTTTGCATATATAGACATCCACAAAGATATAGATGTACAAACACACATGTAAACTCCTATTCTACATTCAGTGTTTTAAAAATTTATTTGACAGAGCTAGACAGTGAGAGAGAGAGAGAGCGAGAAAGGTCTTCCTTCCATTGGTTCACCCCCCAAATGGCTGCTACGGCCAGTGCTGCACCGATCCGAAGCCAGGAGCCAGGTGCTTCTCCCTGGTCTCCCATGCAGGTGCAAGTGCCCAAGCACTTGGGCCATCCTCCACTGCCTTCCCAGGCCACAGCAGAGAGCTGGACTGGAAGAGGAGCAACCGGGACTAGAATCCAGTGCCCATATGGGATGTCGGCACCGCAGGTGGAGGATTAACCTAGTGAGCCACAGTGCCGGCCCCTGTGCTTCTTAATATTGTCACTAAATTTGTGGTTGAAAGTTTTCCCAATGACATTCCAGGGAAAAATTAAAGATATAACCCTCACAAAAGCATATACTGCATTTTAATAGAAAATGAAAATAAAATCATTGTACATTTTGAATAACTATATATGGGGGATAGAGGAAAGGGTAGCATCATATTATTAACATTAGTTCACACAGAGAAATTAAGGGTGACAAGAAAATGACTCAGTTTCTTTTAATTTCTGTATTGCTTAAATTTTATAATAACTATGTATGGACTAATCAGATTTAAATAATTCTACTTTATCATTTGTAGCAAGAGGAAAATTTGAATTTAGCACATTTATTTCATGCCTACCACCCCATGTGTGGTGCTGAGAACACAAGGAGTAAGATTCAATGTCAGTCCTCAATGACTCTTAATGTAATACAGTGTGAGGAAAATACACAAAGTGCAGTAGCAATTAATATGCATGACTATTGAGAGCATGAACTCTTTTCTCAGTATGACAGCACCTACCACATATTATTTAATAAGTGATGGATCATCGAATTAACAAATGATATGTGTGGTACCATAGGTCACAAGAGAAAAACAGACAATTCTACATGGGGGAAGGAGAGGAGAGAGCTAGGGATACTTACAGGATATGGTTCAGTCAGCCTTTTTGAGTTGTAGATGTTCATCAGGACTGCTAAGGAACAGACATAGAGAAATGCAGACAAAACAAGTCACGTATGGCAAAATAGAATCCTCTGGCATGATTAAGGAATGGAAGTTAGTCAACACAATTGCAGCACACAGTAAAAATTGATGGCTGGATTTGGAAAGCAGGCAGGAAAAGGCATGAACTGTAGCTTTGTTCACTGTGATAAAACATTTAGGTTGGAATTAGGAAGATCAAACAGCACAGAAGAAGGGCTCGTGCAGTCAAAGGAATATTTCTGTCTCTGAATGAATTTATGTATTTGTTATACAGTCTAGTATGAGTCTCTATCATTTATGTGTCAATAAGTGATAAAACTATGCTTTCAGAAATTAGTCGCAAGGCAACATCCTTGCTATATGAAAGCCATAGAGTATACTTAAAGAGACCTATGATATCACTAGACAATATCATCTTATGAGGTCCCATTATGCAGCACATGACTGTGTAGGTTGTTGGTCATACTCTTCCTCTGTGAAACAGGAGAAAAGGAGTGTGTCCTCCACCAGTAGGTAAAGGGGAGAGCCGACTGAGCTAAGTTGTTTGAAAAGAATAGAGAGGGGTTTACTTAATATATTCATTGTATGATTCTCTTGAGACCCCAGGAAGTGGCGTCAAAGAAATCAAATCTCCATGAAATTGCTTAGTATTTATCCTGCTGTCTGTCCATGAAGAGGGTAATATATCAGTCATCTGACAAAGCCATGCCATGGCTGCCCTTTGAACCCCAAACTTTTCAGGTATTACCAACTCTCTTATTGAGCTGGAAGCCATGTCCTACAGATTGTTAACCCTTCTGAGTAAACATGAATGTGTAGATAGCAGTAACTAGAATCCTTTTTTATTTATTTTATACAATTTTACTTAATTTTAAGTGAGGACACATTTTGAGCCTGTTAATCTAAGGAAGTAATTTAGTGATAAATTCTACTGACTCTGAAGTTTCAAAATAAGAATGAAGAAACTGGGAAATCTTGTTGAATTGCTTCTCTTTTTTCATTTCAAAGTTGACTCAATTACCTCTTCCTTCTGTTTGTTTAGACATGTTAAGATTCATGAGTGAGAGTCCATTTCTTTCCCAAAATTTCTGAAACAAGTTTTAATCTCAGTCCATAAATACAATTAAGTAGAAAAACTCAGTTTATTTTCTATAATTCAACTTAATTCCTGTTTAAATATTTACTTATTTATTTGAAAGGCCAAGTCACAGAGAGAGAGAGAGGGAGAGACAGATTGAGAGAGAGAGAGATATCTTCCATCCACTGTTTCACTCCTGAAATGGTCACATTGGCCAGTGCTGGGCCAGGTAAGAGGCAGGAGCCAAGAGCTTCATTCCTATATCCCAAATAGGTACAGATGGCAAGCGATGGGTCATCTTCTACTGCTTTCCCAGGCACAATAGCAGAGAACTGGATTGGAAGTAGAGCTGCTGGGTCACGAACCAGTACCCATATGGGATGCCAGCATTGAAGGTGGAAGCTTAACCTACCACACCACAATGCTGGCACCTCAACTTAATTTCTTACACAGAATGCTTGTTCCACCATTGATGATAACATAAACTTCATAAACATTCAGGATTTCTTCTTTGTGATTATTCTACAGCTTCAGTTCCATGATCTTATACAAGAAAGGGAAGTTGGAAGAATGGAGCATGCAGGTTGGAGAGAGGGAGCAATCTGCTTTCAGTCAGTTGTCCACACTGATTTTCACTGGAACATCCATTATTCCCATCTGCCTGGTTCCCTTAACATTCAGGGATGCTTTGCTATTCTGAGCCATGATTCAGGCATGGAAATTTTTAACCATACTGCATATGGGGGCCATCTGCCATATATACTCACAATCATTTTTTCTTGGGCCTTGTGACTTTCAGCAGTACTGCAATATAGAGTTTTCATGTGCCTTTGGGACACATAGACTTCTATGTTTCATTTCCCATTTCTCCTTCATGCAGCCCAGAGGTCTCTTTATGAGGCAAGCTGGTATAGGGTTGCATTTTGTGTGCTAGTTTATTTCCAGGTAATCTGTCTTTCTTTGAAATTCTTTCTTCCAAGTATTTAGATTTTTTTGATAAACAAAAATTCAGAAGGACTTGTGGGGAGTTAAAGGAAACAAAAAAGATAATATATCAAAATGTTTACCCACTATGTTTTTATATATCATGAGATCATCCTTTTTTGCTAGAGAACAGTGAAATTGGTAAAGGAGGACTTTGCAATTTATAAATATCCTTTCGTTGGGCAGGGGCTGGGAAATGGGCTTATAACATACACCCATAGACTCAAACTCAGATGGATTTGACCAATGTTTACTGAACATTTCCTGTTAGGGAAATATTTTGCAAAATGCAATGTTAAAAATTAAGATTGCCATCCGAGATGAATTTTCAGTCTAGTGAAGAAGATTAAGGCATAAACAAATAACAGTAATGCAAAACCTAAAAATGATTCATCTGCCCACATGAGTCATAAACACAGAGCTTTTAGAGCACTGAGAAGGTGATTAATTTTAATCAGGAGACTGGGGAAGACTTGACTTAGAATTGAATGACTGCCTACTTGTAAGAGAATATTAACAACTCTCTGGGTATTTTCTTTATTCTCTGAGCAATTTGGGCTAAGGGTAGAGAATTACTCAATGCTTCTTCAACCCCTGACAGAAGCATTTGTGTGCCTAGCAGTGTTGAGAACTTCAAGATAGATTATTTTTCTATTTTTCTAGATAGATTTATTTTCTTAATTAATTCCTTAATTCTAAGGAATTCTTCACATTAGCTTACACTTAGATGTCTCCATCACCCCCACAACATCACTTTTGGTGGTTATCCACTATTCTACTTTTATGTATGCCATACCCAGGTTCTATATCTTCTTGCATTGTAGGGGTGATGATTTTGTCTGTTTCTATCAATTTTTTAAATATTTTCATTTGCCCTTCTTTTTTTTTTTACATCTGAAATACTGATTTCAAATTTTACACAATTGGGGCCAGTGCTGTGGTGTAGAAAGTTAAGCTTCCTCCTGCAGTGCCAGCAGCCCATGTGTGTGCTGATTCAGGTCCCAGCTGCTCCACTTCTGATCCAGCTCCCTGCTAATGAGCCTAGGAAGGCAGTGGAAGATGGCCCAAGTATTTGGGCCACTGAACCCACATGGGAGAACTGGAAGAAGCTCCTGGTCATTTGGGAATGAACCAGCTGATGAAGATCGCTCTCTTCTTCTCTTTTTTCTCCTTCTCCTTTTACTTCTCTTTCTTTTTCTTTTTAAGATTTATTCATTTATTTTAAAGGCAGAATTACAGAGAGAGAGAAGGAGAGACAGAGAAATCTTCCATCTGTTGGTTCACTCCCCAAATGGTCGCAATGGCCAGAGCTGGGCTGATCCAATGCCAGGAGCCAGGAGCTTCTTCTGGGTCTCCCACATGGGTGCAGGGGCTCAGGGACTTACATCATCTTTCGCTGCTTTCCCAGGAGCATTAGAGGGAGCTGGATCTGAAGTGGAGCAGCTGGGACTCAAACTGGCACCCATATGGGATGCCAGCGTGCAGATGGCAACTTAACCTGCTACACCACAGTGCTGGCTCCAGGAAAGTCAATTTTTCTCTCTCTTCTTCTCTCTCTGTATCTTTGCCTTTCAAATAAATTAATAAATCTTTGTTTTTTAAATTTAAGTGATTTCATGTTTGGAATTTCCTGATTAGATACACTATGTTCAGAAGCCATAGAAGAATCTAATGAACAACATGATAAAAGAGGAAATGATATTTCCTTAAAAAAAACTTTAAAACCTTAAATATATATCCCCTAAGTGAATAATCGAGCATGAAAATGCTACACACACTGACTGTTTCCAACAGTAAGGCTTTCTGGAAAAGAAAAAACTATGGAGATAGTAAAATGATCAGTGGCTGGTGGGGGTAAAGAGAATGGAGGGATGAAGAGATGGAACACAAAGACTTTTAGGGCAGTGGGACTGTTTTGTGTAGTACTACAATGGTGGATCAATGTCAGTTTACATTTGTACAGATGCATAGGATGTATCACATCAACAGTGAACCTTAATCTGTGGACTTTAGGGGATAATGATGTGTCAACCACACCACTCTAGTGGGGATATCCGTTCAGCAGGCTGTGGAGAAGCTGGGAATATGTGGAAACTTCATTTTCTATGCAATTTTGCTAGATCCTAAAACTGTTCTAAAACAATAGTCTAGTTTTAAAAAGCTAAAGATATTTCTATGCACTGCTTTCTCTGACCCAGCACCCTTCAGTACTGACTGTTGTTAGATTAGTCACAGTCACTGCCTTCTGATTGTCTTTGGCTGTGTTGTCCGTCAGCCTTGGTGAGTGATGTTGTCTTTCACTTAACAGAACATAAATTTTAGATAAGACTTTCGTTATGCTAGTCCATATTAATAATAACAAAAAAGTTTCACTCTCTTTTGCTTCTTGTAGTAAGCATTGTGCCTTGATGTGTACTTCAAAGAGACATGGCATAGATGTAGAAAGGGCAAAAAGAAAGGGAAAAATCAATATGGGGAAATATCATTTCTGATTGCTGTGAACAATTTCAGTGTTCCCTGTTTGTTTTATCACTCAAAGAAAAACTCTGATGAAATACAGGCTTATTTAGCACCATACAAAATGTGCATTTATGATGTGAGAGAAGATAGCTTATCTTGACCAGTCACCATGGTAACTTCTAAAAGCAAAGATTATATCTGATTAGGTTGCCCTTCTCAGAAGAAATTGACCAGAAAAAAAGAAATCTTTTGAAAAATTTAAAAAGGAGGTAAGATGATACTGGCACTAATTATGCCCAGCTGCTCTCCTACCTGACTCTCCTAATAAGAGTGACTCAGGTTGTTTTCTAGAACTTTTTCAGATCCACAGAGAGCTTTTAAGAGAGTACTCCCTGGTTGGAAAGGTACCCCAGTTTCTCCACATTTACTGACCCCCAGCCCATCATCAGAATTCTAAATACCTTTGC